GAGTTGATTTTGGCTCGTATCATCGAGTTGACTTTGAACTGACCATCTTCATCATGATATATTGACTTGCGTTGACTTTCATCGTAATGCGTTGATTGGTGTTGTTTCGGATTGCCTGACGTTGACTTTTTCATTGCAACGTGTTGACTGGCGTTGACCTAGGGTTTTAGGTCGCCCGACATTGACTTTTTCATCGCAACGCGTTGACTGGTGTTGACCTAGGGTTACGTATTGACCGGCGTTGACCTTTCATCACAACGCGTTGACTGACGTTGATCGGCGTTAACCTAGGGTTTCGGATCGCTCGTCGTTAACACAGTTTATACTCGTACGTTTGCTGGAGTATACACAGTTTAAGCTCTTAAGGTATTGGAGCATGGCGGTCCTAAATGTCAGAGCTGCAGGACCAACTATGGCTGATTCATCTACATGTATGGATCTTATCCCGAAGTTGTTGGATGCTCTAGTCACGAGACCAACTAATGAGGCTGGTGCGTCAATAACTCTTGCATATATAGGATTTTTGGCAAACCCTCAGCCATCAACGGGTTTGATGAGCCTTTACCGACTACCGTTTGAGTCGGGTTAGCATACAAATTGTTTAAGTCCGTTCCGCATGTGACGTTTTGCTAAAAGAGTTAACTCTTTTAGTGTTATGATATTGAATACGTAGACTTCGTCTTTCTCACGGGAATAGACTACCCGGCTGCATGTATCAGATGCAGACTCAGGATTTTTTGGTAAATCCTCAGCCATCAACGGATTTGACGTGCCTTTACCGATTACCGTTTGAATCGGGCTTGCATACGGATTGTTTAAGTCCGTTCCGCATGTAACATTGTGCTAACTCTGGAGAGATCCATACTGCCGTAGGGTTCTACCGGAGGCGTGGAAGCAGAAGGAGTGGGATCCGAAGTTGACTAGGGCTGGGGAGCAACGTCGCCTGCTTTTGCCTTAAGCGTTGATTTAGCCTTTGGCATCCAAATTTGTTTGGATCTCGGTGATCTCTTAACCGCCTTTTCCTTTTGCATTTCTTGTGCTTTTCGCACAAGAATCTGGGCATGTGCAAGAAGTGCGCGACGCTTCTGAATGCGCTCCTCAAGAATGGAACAGTTCTGTTTGACATGAACCCATTCGTTAGTAGGTGGTTGGGAGGAGGTTCCCGAAGCTTGCTACTGGAACACTTGGCGCCTTCTGAATTTCAGATCTGCATCATAGCAGATCCCGTCAACAGGCTTCAAAACCTTGGCAAATTGGCGCGTGAGATGTTGACGGCGCCTTTGACGAGCCCTCTTCGTCAGCACTGGTGCACTTTCAACGGGCAACTCTTTGCGCCTTTGACGAGCCCTCTTCGTCAGCACTGGTGCACTTTCAACGGGCAACTCTTTGACTTTCGAGGAGTTGTCACGAACGTTGGATCTGGTTTCTTTATGGTGCACTTTCAACGGGCAACTCTTTGACTTTCGAGGAGTTGTCACGAACGTTGGATCTGGTTTCTTTAGAGGCAGGAGAGGGGTCTCCCACTGCATTCGGGTTCAGATCATCAGCCCTGGTCTTCGGATCTGAAGGCACATTCTTCACGGTAGTGGTTTTCCTACGTTTGCAAGAAGAAGATCTGGAAGAGGAGGAGAAAATATATTCCTCAAATTTATATTGGTCCAATTCGTATTCGACCTCTTCGAACATCGGGATCTTGATCGTCAGCTACGGCACGACAGCCTCGGCAGCGAGGCTGTAGGCTCCCACTATGATCGCCAGTTTATTTGCGGTGAAAGTTGATATCTTCATTACTGAATTCATTACATGTTTATCGATTATAGATTCAAAGTAAAATTAGTCTTTTTATAAGAATTTCTTACACAATGAAAATAAAAAAAATACAACTCTCTTCAAACAAATGCAACGGTTGTTTATCGCCTACTGCTTGCGTGGGATCTTAGCCTGTGATGGGGACGTTGATATCTGTGGACCACCAAATGATCAGATCAAATCCAGAGCTTGTTGATTCGTGAAGGAATCAAGAAACCAAAGCAGTTATCTTGGCAATGGCGAGATAACCACTCTTCTCGAGATCACCGCAACGGGGCGATCTTAAGGAAGGAATCAGGAAGTGTAGATCTGACGAGCTTCTCTTCTTTATACTGACGAACTCGATCCGATCTCTCCTCCTCCTCTCTGAAATTCGTGGCTCTTCAGTCCTTAATTCGGCAGGGCTTCGCCGACGCTCGAGAATTCCAGATCCCAAGAAATGAAGGCCCTGGGGCTGTATTTATAGGCTTCAGGAGCCCTGTGCTCGGATAAGAATGATCGATTCACTCTTATCTTCAGTTATAACCACATAACCATGTTCTTGGATGATATCAGATCAATTAAAATGAATCCAAGCGGTTAACGATCGAAAAACAGCTTTAATCTACCAAAAACAGCATTTCGGGTCTGCGAACACCCGTGGGTGTCTCGGCCAATCTTAGGCTGAGACACTCTTGCCCTTGGGTGTCTCGGCCAAGCCTTGGCCGAGACACCCCTTGGTGTCTCGACGAGGCTTGACGCATTATCCCACGCGTTGTGTCCGTTTTCGTCGTAAATTCGTCATCCGAACTCGCAATCATGCGATTCAAGATGCGTTGGAAAGCTAATGTTGAGATCTATAAGTTCCCATGGTTGAATCATATGTGAAATAAATAGGATACGAGGGATGTTTCGTCTTTCGTAAGCGACGCGGGGCTCCCGATCAGCTCGTGTTTTCGTTATTCTGTTGTTTCGTTGTTTTGTATGGTTCGTCGACTCACTCCGTGCATTTGTCATTGTCAAATGAGTTTCTGTGACTCGAGTAGCAACGTTCATCGTCTTCTCTCTGTCTCGAGCCG